ACATTTTTCTACAGTGGTGCATTACTGAATTTGTCTTTATTGTATGTTAAATTGTGTATGTACTGTATCTGTTTATATTGTTGTATGTAGTCTGGTTCTTTTATAGTTAAAGAATTGAAAACATTAAATAAATACTAATCTCACAGTAAGTATATATTTTTTCCATTTTTTACACAAGAGAGGTGGGGCACTGAAGCACTTATTCCTGCTCTTTTCTCCCTGGCTCTGAAGGCCTTAGGGTTGTTACCACCCTTGGTGAAAAGGACTCTGACTGTGGGAGAAGGAAAGCAGGAGTGCAGGGCAATCAAGGGAGAAGAGAGGTTGTCAAAGAGCTTGCTAATGATATGGGGGGAATTAATTGTTTAGATCAAAGTCTAAGTCATCAATATAGATGAGCTGTATGCAAATATGCTCACAATTTTAGGTGTTAAGGGAAGCTGGGCTGAAGATAAAAATAGGTCTAACAGGTATTTAATTCTGTTGGGACAGAATTAGGCTTTTGGGTTCCTAGTACAGATGAATTTACTGACAAATTGTGCTGGGATGCTTGTACAGCTGCTGCCTGTTAACACTGCCATCAAATCTCAGACCTTTCCTAAATTGTAAACTTTGTTTAGAAGATGGCCTGCTGTTAGGTGTACTGCTACTGTTAGGTGTACTGCAGATGGAAGATTCCTCCCTGTACTCAACATTTTAGGACAGTGTATTGTGATTTCTTTTTCATTTTGAAAAATGATCTGGAGGCTGAACAAGCATTTGTATTTGTACCAGAAGACAACAAGGATGCAGCTTGGGTTCCTAGTGAAGACATCTGAACTACAGAAATCATGGGTGAGTCTACTGGCTTTGTCACGCGGAAAGCTGATGACAGTAAAGATGATGCCAAGACAAATGAAATGCAAGCTGGCAGTGTATTAGATGGAAATTGTAATCTCATTCTTAATTTCTAGTGTCTTGCTTGTTCCCCTATCTCCAGACCATGTCTGTGTGACTTAGAAGGTACTCTCATTATGACAGGGATATGGTCTTGCATACTTTGTACTTCTCAAGGCATTAGGTCCTGTAACACTGAAAAGTTTCCTGACGTGGAATGATTAGGAACTCACTTATGAAATACTAAAAAATATATATTTTTATGTCACACAAAGTTACTCAAAAGCTCTTAAACAAAATTTTATCAGAAAATTACTTTTTCTTTAAGAAGTATAACACTATTTCAAAGGCAACAATTTTTGCAAGAGCATGGATTAAAATTCCTCCTGTTCACATTTTCTCATTAAATGCATTTTTAGATCCAGAAAAAAAAAAAAAAAAAAAAAAAGCAACTAATTAATTCCCCAAGTATGCTACATTTCTGATCCAGCAGAAAAAAAATGCAGCTATTTCTTCAGTGTTACAAAAAGGAAAGAAATTGTGTTGTTTTAGCTAGGTTATATGCAAGTTTACTTACATTTAAAAAATTTTAAATAAAACTCTTGGTAAATGCATATTACTTTACTTACGTATTTGGGAAAAATCCATTGCAACAAATTAATCTTGTGAATCAATGCATGTCAGTCTTTGACCTATGGTACTTCAGTTGTTCTAGTATATGCTCTCGAGTTTTCTTTGCAAGAAATATCACTATATATTTAAAGTCAGAAAATATACCATAACTGAAGTCTGTGATCTTTGAGAAAAATATATTTTAGGGAAAACTGAAAACAATTAACTGGTGTTAACTGTTAATTATATTTAGTTACCAAAATCCAAATAAGACAATGCAAATTTTATATTATTAATTTTTGTATCAGCACTAACAATGTCATTTTTTTAAAGTAATTTGTAAATTGTTCTCTGAAAAGCAGACTGTTAGTCTTGCTTTGCAACACTCCTTCTGTCGCTCTGAGAAGCACTTCTTCCACATAGCTGCCAAGTTTATTCCCATTGAATAAACTCTCCAAACAATATCTCAACTTCAAGTGGAACTTTCTTGGCTAGAAGCAGTAACTCTAAAATTTAGAAATACAAACCAAAAAAACTAGATTAAACAAATAAAAGTTGTGGAATCAGTGGATTGTTTGTGATGTATTATTGTGCAAAACAGGACAAAATCAGTCCTTATGTATGAAAAAAACAAGGTCTGTTCCATGGTCATTCCTAGCTGCACTGCGCAAACTCGTGAGCAAGGTTGCTGAAGGACTCTGAGTAAAGCACTTGCAACACCTTTAAAAATTCAAATTAAGCTGCTCTAGATACCACTGCATTTTTTTTTTCTACTTTTCAAATTCTATTACCTGTTCCTAGCAGATAGAGAACCCTTGAGGTCCTATTAATATCGATACAAACTACCAAGCAGAGCACTCTGGTATACAAGTGAAAGTATCAATTACCTGAAAAGTCAGCAAAGTCAGACAGAGCAAATTCCTACAAATAGTTCTTTTCAAAAGGAAGTTTTCAGCAGATGAAATGATTTGGGCATGGATCTGAGAAAATATGTAGAATGTTACATAAAAGAGGTGCTACTTAGTTGAACTGAGAAGCAAAATCAAACTTTAGAGGAATTAATTCAAGCAGTATTAAAACCTGATACTGCATATAAACTTTCTGGTTTATATTAAACAATCTAAGTGATTGTTTAGTTGTTTGTTGTCTTTATTTTTCAATACCAGAGTCAGTAGTTGAAAGTTTGTTAGTTGGCAATAAACTAAATTCTATGAAATTCCCCAACTTGAGATTTTTGAGTCAAAATCAGTTGCTCCATGGAAGAATATGACAAGTAATATTGTTACCTGAATGCTCTTCCAGTCTCCTACAATTTGTGACTTGGGTCTTTGGAAGTCACCGAACATTTCTGTATGCAGCTCTCAAGTCTCTCTCATGACCGTGACTACTGTAGCCCTGTGACACTCACAAACATTTCTTGCCCCCCACAGCCTATGCCACACAGTGCCAGTGTGCAGCTGCATGCTGGGCAAAGAACCACATCCTCTTGGTTGCTCTGACCCTGCCACCTCCCATTGCTATCGGCTTCCTCTTGTGCTGGAATAAGCAGTGAGCAATCAGTCCCTATTGATCATCTCATGATTTTATAGATTTCCATTTATCTCACCTGCTTCATCTTTTTTTCCTAGCTCAGGCATCTCTCGCTCTACTGACATTCTGTACAAAGCTGTGCCAGACTTTTATCATTTCTCTTTTCTCTCCTTGACCCATTACAGGCTCCTGTAGACACTCTTTGAAATGAGCAACACTGGGGCTGCATACAGTATTTGACTTGCAGGTGTACGCTATTAATTAATAAAGAGCTGTGAGAAGCTGGGTGCTAGGGTTGGGTGGCCATACCCTGGAAGGAGAACAACGAGGACAAAGATGCTAATGGTCCTCTGGGCTGACTTTGGAATCAGTTCTGCAAATATACTCTTTAGACTTTGATCTAAAACCAAGAAAAATTACATGAAATTTGCAGGTGACACTGATCAGATGATGATGACAGACTGACAATGTGGCATGGCTGGAAAGGGCTGGCCTGTTGTAGGTATGTAATATTACAATGTTTTCAGTTGATAATTAACACCATTGCCCGGTGGACTGAAAAGATTAATGAGAAATACTGTGTAAATTCCAATCATTTTCATGTTCAAGAATGATTAATTTAAGCTGGTCAGGTGCAGAGAGGAGTCTTAAGCAAGCAGAATGGCTCTCATGAAAGATTTTGAAAGCGTGGCCTACATTTGAAAGGAGACTGAACTTACAAAACTATGGATGTCTATTTAAAAGGAGAAATTAAGCTGGTGAAAAATACTGTTACAATATAAGCAGATATAAATCAAATATATGTATATGTTATACTGTGATACTTTCTAACTATCAGACGAAAGAGTCTTTAGATGCTATGGTGGGGAAAGGAACGTAAATTGTTTCAGGAAAGAAAGTCTTAAGTTTATGGAAGGAAGGGCTAAAAAACACACAAAGGATACAGTTAAGGCACAGTGACTCCCATGGGAAAACAAGTATTAATGAGAAATAACTGGGGTGTCAGGAGCACAGAAAAGACCCTGGTGGCAAGAAGAGGAAGAAGAAAGATGCCAAACTTTGGGAAAGAGAATGTGAGAGGTTCAGGTACTAGGATTTCACACTTTTTTTTTTTTTTTTTTTTTTCAGAAGATAACAGATATGAACAGAAAAAAAAAATGTTACATCTCATTCTGGGGAAGCTGTAGGCGCGTTAAAGAAGGATTTGGGTCATCAAGGACCCTGCTATACATAAAGGTGTGAGAAGGAAGCATCTAGGGCATCACATCCCCGCCTGGGCAGCATGTGGGAGTGGGAAGAGGCGAGCAGCCCCGGCTGCAGGGCGATCAGGCCGAGGAAGCCGCTGGGCTGCGCCTGCAATCGGTGCGTTGCCCCTTTAATTGTGTCCCCAGCCCTCGGGCGTCTCTGTCCAACGCCCACGTCAGCAAATACCTTTTGTTTCTCTCACGTTCGGGCTTCCAGGGCTCGGGGCTGCGGGACCGGCGCGTCGCCTTCAGCCACGGCGAGCCCCGACGCGGGGCCCGGGACCCCGCATCCACCGCCCGCTCCCCTCGGCTCGGCGGCAGCCGCCCGCAGGACCCAGCCGGTGAGTGGCGGCTCCCGCACGCCGGCAGGCCAGGCAGGGCGCCGGGATTCGGGGGCGGAAACGGCCCCGGAGCGAGCCTTGCTGCGAGGGGCACCGAGGCACGGCCGCGGGCTCCGCGGGCGCCGGGGCCCGCGGGCGGCGGCCCCGCTGGCAGCCGCCCCTCGCAGCCGCTCGCTCCCGGGGCTGCACCGCGTCCTCGGCGGGCGCCATTTGCAGCCCCGGGCGCGGCTGGCAGGAGCCAGGCGCGGCAACAAAGGGCTGCGCGGGAGCGGGCGGCGGGTGCGCGGCGAGAGGGGCCGCGCACGGGGGCGGCGGGGGGCGCTGCCAGCGCGGGGAGGCTGCGGGCAGCCGGGCCGGGAGCGGCTCGGGCCACGCCGGGCGCCCGGCACCGGGCGGCGGCGGCAGCGTGGCGGGGAGCTCCCCGCGGAGCCGGCGGAGCGGCAGCCGGGGCTCCGCTAAGGCGGGCGGCTGCGGGCTGCGCGCCCGGCCCGGCCCGTCCCTTCCCGGCCCGTCGGAGGGGAGCGCGGGGCCGGCCGGAGCGCTGGCGGGCGCTGGCGCTGCGGTCCCGGCGGCGGGAGCGGGGGCGGCAGCCCGCGGAGCCGGGAGGCGCCTCGGCGCTTTGGCGGGCGGGTCCGGCGCCGTCGGGCGTCCCGGGCTGCCGGTGGTCGAGCGACCAATCGGGTCGGGCGTGCGGCTGAGTGACGGCGGCCTCCGCCAATGCCGGGGCAGCCCGGGCCGGGAGGGCTGCGGCCGCCGGGGCTGTGTCGCCGAGTCCCATTTCTGGTCCCTTCGGCGGCGGCGGCGGTTTGAGCCCGGCCGGAGCGGGGCGATGCGGGAACGTCGGTTCAAGGCACGGCCACAGTCCGTACCCGCAGCGGCCGGAGGGCTCCTGGTCTCGTTGGAGGAGGTCTGAGGGCTGTGCAGCTGCCAGCGGGTGGCACACATCCTGTCCCGCATCCTTCGGAAGGAGATGCGCCTGGCTGTAGCACACACGTCTCTGCCAAAGAATGTGCACCGATTTGGCTTTTTCATCACTTTTCTTCTTGGAAAAAGAATGTATGCGTGTGCATATTTCAATATCTTTATGGATTTAAATAAATGAGAGTATTTGTAAAGCTATCCATGAAATTGGGCCTGACATCTTTGGCTGAGTTGCACGATGCTGAAGTCAAGAGTCTAGCTATTTTCTTTATTTTTTAGAACGACGCTTCATTTCATCTTTTCTGGAATGGAGATTTCTTCTCACCAGTTTCACCTCTTGCAGCAACTAAACGAGCAGCGCAGACAAGACTTGTTCTGTGACTGCAATATCCTGGTTGAGGGAAAGGTCTTTAAAGCACATCGCAATGTGCTGTTTGCCAGCAGTGGCTATTTCAAAATGCTCCTTTCGCAGAGCTCGAAGGAGACGACTCAGCCGACGACAGCTACTTTCCAGGCATTTTCTCCTGACACATTTACAGTTATTCTAGATTTTGTGTATTCAGGCAAACTGTCTCTCACGGGTCAGAATGTCATCGAAGTCATGTCAGCTGCTAGCTATTTGCAGATGACCGATGTTATTAGCGTGTGTAAAACATTCATTAAGTCATCGCTGGACATCAGTGAGAAGGAGAAGGATCGCTACTTCAGTCTCTCAGACAAAGATGTAAATTCAAATGGCGTGGACCGATCCTGCTTGTACGGCGCTGGCTGGAGGGCAGAAAGCAGCCCCCCGCATTCGCACTTAAGCCCAGACCAAGGGACATGTATGATGGGTGGAAACACTTGGAGCAATTTCAGCTACTATCCCACTTCTCAAAGAAATGCCCAGCAGCAGCTGTCCAAACACGAGCAGAGGCAGGATTCCATAAAGAAATCCCGGCACCTGGGACTGCAGCAACCTTCTGACATTCCTCACTATAAATCGAGCAAACTGGAGGACAGGGCTGCCGAGCCCACTGGCCACATTGCTCAGTCTGAGGAGCAAGTTCAGATTGAAACAGAAGTTGAATCTCCTCACGTGGGGTACCAGTACGGCCCAGGGTCTGACGTGATACCGAGGAGCTTGGCTGTGCCACAGCAGGAGCACGAATCACCCCGTTCTTCTAATAAATCAAAGTCTTCAAAAGCAGACGAGCAGTACGCGAGCATGCCCTCGATTCTGGGTGTCATGGGAAACTGGGCTGAAGGTAAGAGTTGATTTTAATGCTGTAGGTGCAGAGTCATCTGTGAATTGTCTGTTCTGTCTGTGATAAAATGTACTTTACTGAACGAGTGTACAGTTGCCAAAAAGACATCTGCATTGTCCAGATATGTAAGTTTGGAAAGTTTAACTATTTTTAAATAATTTTGAATTACTGAAGTACCTGGTTTATTAAAACTAGCCTGTCAAAATACATAATCTCTAGTGTTTCTACAGCTTCATCTTGCAAATTTAAGTTGTGATCTTCTGTGATATATTTAAGCTCATTTTAATATAGCTAACGGTCCACTCCTTTTCCTTTGTTACGCTCCTGTGTAATTTACAGGAAAAAACAAGATTTTTGTGCTTGAAAAACCTGTGATATTACTTTTTTTAATAAAAGCAATTTGCATTCTGCTCATAGAATGCCTTTTTCTAGAGCATTACATGACTAGACATGTTATGACTCAATTTTTTTAATCACATTATTTTCTAACAGATGATCTGCCCAGGATGAGGTTCAAGTGCCCATTCTGCACTCACGTGGTGAAACGAAAAGCAGACCTAAAGCGTCACCTTCGCTGTCATACGGGAGAGCGCCCTTACCCTTGTGAGGCATGTGGGAAAAGATTTAGCAGGCTAGATCACCTAAGTAGCCATTTTCGAACAGTATGTATTTTTAGTAACTGCATGATTTCTTTAATGTGTAACCTGTCTCCATGCAATTAAACACAGTACAAGTGTACCTGGTTAATATACTGACTCCCGTAAAGAAGAGGTAATAGAAAATGAATTTGGTTTTGTTGAAGTCAATTTGAGGCATAATTTGTATGAAAGGGGATGAATTTCTTTGTTAATTGATTGTTCACAAATGTACTGCTCTATGCAAGTCCTGTAACAGAGCTTAAGTGGGCAATTACAGTGCCTGATGGTTTAATTTTTAACGTTTGACTATCTCTTAAAATGAGTTAACGCATCCACTTAATGCTACTCCAGCCCTACTTTTTGTCATCTTAAAAAATGCTTCTTTTTGGATACATTATCAAATTTATTAATTTTGATTTTTTTCAGATTCATCAGGCTTGTAAGCCTATCTGCAGAAAGTGTAAACGCCACGTGACTGAGCTAACAGGACAAGTGGTCCAAGAGGGGACAAGACGTTACAGACTCTGTAATGAATGTTTGGCTGAAGCTGGCATAGACAGTATTCGCATTGACTTGGAGGCTGAAGCACCCCTTGAATTTCCACAAGATGGGGATAAGGATTCCAGGTGGCACTATGGGGAAGACAACAGATCTGATGTGGAGATTGTGGAGGATGGGTCAACTGACTTGGTCATTCAGCAAGTTGATGACAGTGAGGATGAAGCAGATGAAAAGGAAGTAAAACCAAATATTAGGTAGTTGCAAGACAAGAATTGGGAATTCTGTATAAGAGGGAGAATGTACTGTTTTGAACATAAGCCCTCCACCAGCCTGTTGTTAATCGTACAGAGACACTGGTTTCTCTTGAACAGGTCCAGACTTGCATGTATTTATGGACATGCCATTGAGGCCATTCTGAGTTTTGTTATCAGAATACCCATACTTTGCTTCACTAGAAAAATTCCATCCTTAAATGAAATAATGGATGAACAAGGAAACTGAAGTACTACATGAGTAACTTTTTATAGTAGACAATGGGTCACTTCTCAAAACCTCTTTTAAGGGATTGAGGTCTAAATACTTAAAAAAAAAAAAAAAAGGTCACACAGCGCTGTAAATTGCCCACTTTTTAAACTTGTAGCGATGTGGGGTTTATACATAATATCATCTGGCGATAAACAAAGTATAAATGCCCCACATGTCAGAATATAAAGAAAACTTCTCTTCAGTATTCAGAAATGAAGATAATCTTCCACAAAATTTCGTGAAGTCTTTATGTTATGATGAGGAAAAAAGGCAGCTAATTAAGAAAAATGTAAAAATGTTTTAGCACTTTTGTCTGGAAAAGTACTTTCTTGTACAATATAGAATAAGGAGAATCTTTAGCATATTATTCCTTCAAGACCTATTTCTTTACAAGAAAATAAACACATGAATGCTAGTCCTAGTCAACACATCAGAGATAAAGTGATGACAAATATGGATCATTAATTGCTGCCAGACGTTTTATTCATTCTGAAGATTGGGAACTCAGACTGGGCTGTGTTTTAATAACTGCTAGTAAAATACTCTTTTTTTTAAAACCTCTCAAAAGTGCCAGACTGACAGGACTGGTAGCCCTGCATCCACAGCATTGCCAATGGCAGTGGCAGTTCTCCATGCCAAGGTGAAGGAAACAATCCTTACAAGGTTACCTTAGCTGTTGTTTTCTCTCTTTGTCCCCCTTTTTACTTGCCAATAACAGTGGCAGAACAATTTGTACAGTATATATGCTATATCATTAGAAATGGAACTGATGAGATTTTCCATCTGAAACCATTGACTATTCTTGTTTGTATTGACCTGTACTCAATTTAAACTGATGAGTTTTAAGATGGAGTCGCCAATTTATATATTCCCAAAGTCTTTTGGTCACTAAGTGAACATACTTTAACCTTTTTCAGTCTTTACTATATGCCAGTGAAAACAAGATGTACTGGAAGTTCTAGACATCTTATTTGTGTAATTTTACCTACAATCATACTACAAGAGATGAAATGACTAATGGTCAAGAAAGTTTACTTCTATAACAAAATAAGCCACTTTGTTTTGTTACTTAGTGAGTTTATCTTGACCAGCACTGTAAACAGGAGAGGAGCAGAAGTATGCTTCTGAGGGCTTTCACTCTGAATTTTCTTGGACAGATCTGAGTATTACTACAGTCTTCATCCTGTGATCATTGAACTCAATGGCTATAGGCTTAGAAAACTTTTATTTTTTTTCTTTTTTACAACTTTGTAAGCATGTTTGGCTGAAACCCGGGATTAATTACAGAACAATCCCATATATATATATATATATACATACACACACTATATAATCTATTTCCCAGGGACAGCTAAAAAGTCATTATTTTATTTTTATTTGTGTAAAAACTGTATAGCCTTCTTAGTATTATCATTACCAGAGAGTGCAGCATTTTATTTCCAGGCTGCAGACGGCCAGCTGAAATGACAACTCAAGAACTTCCTACTAAGTTCACAGTGTAAACATTGAGCGCGCTTCCCCTCAAATGTGCCAGTGCTTGTATGTTCTGAGGAGGCGAGAAGTGGTATTTTGTTATTCCTACAAAAATTATTGTCCGTTGGCTTAGAGTTGGGGAGGGAGATGGAAAGGGGGAACTTACAAAACTTTCTGATGACCCATATGAAAACATCTTTTCCAAACAAGACTTACACTTGCCTTGATTTTATGTTACACTTTGGTCAGCAGTCCATAAAATGGACTTGATGTGAGAACAACTGGTTAATTTCTTGGAGCTTATTACTCCTGAAATGCGTATAACTAAATAGCTAAGAAATATTCCTGAGCAACTTTAAATCAGATACAGAACAAAGAAATATTGAAAAGAATATGGAATTACTTCAGTCAAATTTCAAGAGAAAATGCTTGCTGAAATCAAGTCTAACAGATTTTTCCGTTTCCCTTTACATTAAACAGTATGCGCAATAAATTCTGGGTATCAGTGCCTGCTGCCCCAGAATATAAAGTGACTGGGATTAGTCTGTGTGTGTGTTTGGGGATGGATTAAAGGGAGGGGAAAATAAAGTGTCACTCTAGGCCTGAAGTCTTAACTGCCAACTCTAAAGGTGAGACTAATAAGTGTTTCTGTATACTTGGGGGCATTTTTAGAAGCAAAAGGATTTTGGGATCAATACTCAATCTAATTAGATACCATAAACTAAGAATACAGAGGACCAGATGCTTCAAAAAAAGATGTGAAGTGGCTATAAATGGGCAAATGGAATAATCTATCCGTATGAATACGTTTACTTTTTAAATATAGGCAGATTAATTGTTGATTTGCCTGGCAAATAAGGGTTTCTACTGTTTTTATATGATATTGTTATTCTCAGTAGCATAACTAGGTATCTATAGTGATTTTTAAAGTATCTTATTAAGCTTGGAGTTTTAGCTCAAAACTGCCATTCCCACAAGTCAGTTATGGTTTGTATTTTAAAAAGGTTACCAATTTTACATCTGTTACCTTAATTTCAGTTGTTGTTCCCTTATTTTTGTATTGCAAGACAAGATAAATGTTAAGTGCCTTCTATTTTCTACGTCCTTCATTTCACATAGACAGTCATATATTTTGCTTGTTTTTCTCTACCTGAAAGTAATCCCATTTGTTTTTGTTTTCTTTTCATCTTCTTGCATTGCCTCTGATGACTATCTTCTTCATGCTTCTGGTAGGATCATGTACCACTCATTAGCAAAAGTAACATTTTCTTTCTTTTCAAGGAGGAAAGTTAAGACCATATAGGGTTGTTCCCACAGAATTTAATTTACACGACTGATTTGAATGTGTTGCTTTTAGAACTTTGTCAGGTCACGAGTAGGACACCTGATTTTATCTCTGAATGTTAGAGAAGGCTGTATAGAACTGTATTGACTCCTCCTAATACCAATCCATTCAGATTCTGTTTCTCTCCTGCCCTTACACCAAATCACAGTTTGAGAGGTTTAAACTGTAGTGCAGCATTGGAACGGGCTGTTCAGAAAGAAGCCTGGGAGTTGTTTGTCCCTGAAGGCGTTCAAGACTTGGCTACACAAAGCCATGGCTGAGCTGATGATGAGCTGATCTTGCTGCTGGCCTTCTTCCTGTGGGAGGCGGGACAAGAAACATTCACAGTTCCCCTATGACCAACGGTTGTGTGATTCAAATTGTTTTTTGCTTTTTTCTTTCCCTTCTTTCATCTTCTTCATGTTGCTTTGAATGCTCTTAAATACTTCCTAATGCACGTTTTGATTATTTACTCATTTCCAGTACATCATTCTCTTGTCATTTGCATTTCCATTCCCTGTTTCATCTAACGTTGGAGGGATGTCCACTTCAAGAGATGTTCCTCTTGCTCACCTCTACTTTCTGTTCAGTCCTAGTGTCTTTGTCCTTTCCTCTGTGTGACACTGAAAGCCTGACTCTTTTTGCATGTCTTATGTTTATTGTGTTCACCAAACCACAGTCAAGAATGAAGACACAGATTCATCATCCTCTGTCTAGTGTTTCACCTTTAACTATCCTTATTTTCTGACAACGATCTTGCCATCCTTTCAAAAGGCTGAAACACTGAATTAAAAAACATTTCTCTTTCCCCCTTTTCAGGTATTTCTTACAGAACTCTACCTGTCACATAAACCTGTGGCTTGTGTGATATTTGATCAGTTTTTCTCCTTCACATCATAACCCATTTTTTTTTGTTTTCCATTAAATTATCTAAACTTCCATATTTACTATCTCAAAAAATTACACTTGTCCAACTGTTGGGTTTGTTTTGTTTTGTTTTTTTTTTTTTTCAAAAATGAATAATGATTAAAAAAAAAGCAGACCCCCAAGAAACAACCTCAGAATGAATCTCCCCTTCCAGTCTTTTGCTACATATTCTATTCCAGTTCTAAAGAACCGAGAAAAGAAAAAAAAAAAAAAAAAGGCAAAAAGACCAATTGAGTGTGAGCTTTGAAAATACCTGTAAAAAGATCTCCAGGGGAACACTGACACTGACTGCTACATGTACCATCCTTCCTTTAATCCTGGCTCTTCAGAAGAAATACTCTATCCTCCAGGATTTTGGGATCCCTCTCAATTTCTCAGTGTGATAACTTAGAAAAAAAAGTAACGTTGGATATAAAATTATGGAATGTACTACATTTCTTCCCTGAAGCATCTGGTCGCCATTAGAGGTTATCCCATTACCTAGCCATGCCAATGTATACCTTACTTATATTTTGGTCTCTTAGTCTGCAGAAACTTTGAACTTCAGATAGCCTGCACAGAGGCTAACAGCACTATCTTCAATCCCATGCATTTTTTAAATGGACCTTGATTTAGCTGAAAAATGCCTGACCAACCATCTGGGTACAGCCAAGTCAATGACTGTGCCCAGATCCCAGCACTGACAATCACTAGCATCTGTCAGCATAACAACAGTGCTATCTATTCATGTCTATCGAAAGCCTTAACTGCAGAGGGCTAGCGGAGTCAAGATTTGCATTAAGTGAGGATTACAGCTAAACTAAACTTGTTTAATTTATCCTAAAAAAAGGCTTTTTAAAATTATATTTTAACCAAAGACTTGAGGCTAAAGATAGCAGCAGTCAGGAATAAGCACACATGGTTAGGGTTTATTTAATGAATTTACAAATTCATAAGGAACTACCTCAGTGGACTGCTGAGGCAGTGATCTGGTCAAGGTGGCACTGGGGACTTCTAACCATTTGCAAGGTAAAGAAATGTAAATTATAATCCAAAAAGAGTCCAAAGAGTTAAATCTGTATTCCTTTTATTGTTTCTACATGACTAAGTACAGCAGGATTCTAAGAGTAGTTCAATATTTTAGTAGAGGCATTCCAACACCTGCTTGATTTTTCTGGAACATCTCAGGAAAGTCAGAAGTCAACTAGAAGGTTACTATTAGTTGGAAGGCAACACATACAAGAAAGAAATAGAAGAAAATTTCTCTAATTCCAGCCAAAAGGTTGAGTTTTGAAGAAAAGGATCTTATAAACATCAAGACTTTCAATGTAATTTTCCCATTAGGTATAAATCTGTACCAACAGCCTGTATGTCTGTTCAGTGATGGGTATAATTTGATAAGAAACTTAGAAAAGCTTATAATACAATTTAGTTAAATATTTTCTATACTGTTTAAATTAGAAAACCACCCACACTGGAGTTAGCATGTTTGATCAGATTTAACTCTTGAAATGCAGAAAGACATCTTACTTTGTGCTTCAAGAATTTTAAATATAGTAGCAACACAGAACAAAAAAAAAAAAAAAGGAAAAACAGAGGAATGGCAGGAAAAAGATTTCCATGTCTTGGTTTAGCTGTTGTACTAACTTAAACACTAATGAAGCTCTCTGACACACTCCAACCTGACACTTTTTACTGTGCAAATGAGAACTGTTCTTTTACTGTGTTCTAACTGAGCCTGCTTTGAGGAGATTGTGCCAGATGACCTGCAGAGGTTCTTTCTCAAAATGATCTAGAGGAACAAGATGGAATCTGTCTCATCTTCTGACAGGCACAATATTGAAAGTGTCTTGTCTTCTAATGGGCATCCTGATTTGATTTTCTCCTTCCACACAGAAGGGAAAAAAAAGACATTCTGACATATTGCATTCCTGCTTGCAGTACTTTGGATTAGGATTATTTCCATTGTTTTAACAGAAAACTTCCCTGTTATAAAAATGCTGTTATACTGAGCAATGTAATATATCCCATGCCACAAAACTACAGTTATTTCCCATTCAGGTGGCGCCTTTCTTTCACACACAAAGATATCTAGATTGGCCTTTAACAATAGCAATGCATTGTCTGTGTTAGGGTGGTGGGCCTCCCGGGCAGCATGTGGGAGTGGGAAGAGGCGAGCAGCCCCGGCTGCAGGGCGATCAGGCCGAGGAAGCCGCTGGGCTGCGCCTGCAATCGGTGCGTTGCCCCTTTAATTGTGTCCCCAGCCCTCGGGCGTCTCTGTCCAACGCCCACGTCAGCAAATACCTTTTGTTTCTCTCACGTTCGGGCTTCCAGGGCTCGGGGCTGCGGGACCGGCGCGTCGCCTTCAGCCACGGCGAGCCCCGACGCGGGGCCCGGGACCCCGCATCCACCGCCCGCTCCCCTCGGCTCGGCGGCAGCCGCCCGCAGGACCCAGCCGGTGAGTGGCGGCTCCCGCACGCCGGCAGGCCAGGCAGGGCGCCGGGATTCGGGGGCGGAAACGGCCCCGGAGCGAGCCTTGCTGCGAGGGGCACCGAGGCACGGCCGCGGGCTCCGCAGGCTCCGCGGGCGCCGGGGCCCGCGGGCGGCGGCCCCGCTGGCAGCCGCCCCTCGCAGCCGCTCGCTCCCGGGGCTGCACCGCGTCCTCGGCGGGCGCCATTTGCAGCCCCGGGCGCGGCTGGCAGGAGCCAGGCGCGGCAACAAAGGGCTGCGCGGGAGCGGGCGGCGGGTGCGCGGCGAGAGGGGCCGCGCACGGGGGCGGCGGGGGCGCTGCCAGCGCGGGGAGGCTGCGGGCAGCCGGGCCGGGAGCGGCTCGGGCCACGCCGGGCGCCCGGCACCGGGCGGCGGCGGCAGCGTGGCGGGGAGCTCCCCGCGGAGCCGGCGGAGCGGCAGCCGGGGCTCCGCTAAGGCGGGCGGCTGCGGGCTGCGCGCCCGGCCCGGCCCGTCCCTTCCCGGCCCGTCGGAGGGGAGCGCGGGGCCGGCCGGAGCGCTGGCGGGCGCTGGCGCTGCGGTCCCGGCGGCGGGAGCGGGGGCGGCAGCCCGCGGAGCCGGGAGGCGCCTCGGCGCTTTGGCGGGCGGGTCCGGCGCCGTCGGGCGTCCCGGGCTGCCGGTGGTCGAGCGACCAATCGGGTCGGGCGTGCGGCTGAGTGACGGCGGCCTCCGCCAATGCCGGGGCAGGCGGCCCAGGCTGCGCCCACAGCTGGGGGGCTCAAGGCGCGGCGGCTCTCGGCAGCTGTGGCCTCCCCACGGCGGGGGGGGGGGGGGGAAGGGGGGGGCCAAGGGCTTTTTCTCTGTTTGTGGACCGTTCTCGTCTTCGTCGATGTAATCTTAAATTTTTTAGGATAAGCAGGAATCCCGCTGACACATCTTTTCACCTCTTCTAGAGTTGTTTCTTCCCTCGTGTTATTTATTACGCGGGGTAGGGACTGCAGGGAGTTTGGAGATACACACACGATGTTCATGTCTTTAAAAATCGAGCTCATATCTTTAAAATAGGATTCAACAACATTGGTTTAGATTGTCATGATTATACTTGGTTTTTTACTTTAGAGCAAGCCTTCCTCTTACTCCCTGACTGGAATGGAGATTTCTTCCCACCAGTTTCACCTCCTAGAGCAGCTAAACGAACAGCGGAAGCAAGACTTGTTCTGTGACTGCAATATCCTGGTTGAGGGAAAGGTCTTTAAAGCACATCGCAATGTGCTGTTTGCCAGCAGTGGCTATTTCAAAATGCTCCTTTCGCAGAGCTCGAAGGAGACGAGTCAGCCAACAATAGCTACTTTTGAGGTCTTTTCTCCAGAGACATTTATGGTTATCCTGGACTTTGTGTATTCGGGTATATTGTCTTTAACCGGTCAAAATGTGATTGAAGTAATGTCAGCTGCTAGCTACCTGCAGATGACAGATATTCTCAATGTCTGTAAGACGTTCATTAAGTCCTCGCTGGATATTAACGAAAAGGAGAAGGATCATTACCTCAGCCTTTCAGCCAAAAGTACAAACAGTGAACCTGTGCGTCCATCACTTTATCGGTCAAGAAGGAAAGCAAAGAGCAACCCCAGGCGTTCCTATTCAATCCCAGAAGAAAAGGCTAATACAGTGAATGAAAATTCCTGGAGCAGTTACAGCAGCTACCTATCCTCACAGGTGATTCTTCAGCAGGCAGAAACACAGCTATCGAAAAGAGGCAGAAAACAGGCCTCAACGAGAAAGCGCCGAAAGCACCTCGGGCTGTCACAGACCCGTGATTTTGTGCAGTATAAATCGAACAAAGTTGAGCGGGCCAGCGGAGGTTGCAGTGCGTCGGATCCCAGCCACATCTCTCAGGTTAGAGAGGAGGATGAATTCAATGCCGAGAATAACGTTGATCATGATGATTACAGATATAATCACGAATCAGAAGTGATACCAAAGAGGTGGACTGTTGCTCAGCTAGAACAAGAACTTTCAAGAACTCCTGAGTTCATGGAATTAAAGGCAGAAGAACTGACCACCTCAGTGCCCGCAATTTTAGGTATAATGGGTAGTTGGAACGAAGGTAAAAAATACATGCGTTTTTGCAAAGTTTGTCTTTATTTGGAAGAATCAGATGATCTTTTGGAGAGAATTTGCATGGCTGCATGAAAACCAAAATGATGCCTAGAGTTGCCGATTATTTTCTTGATCTACTCAATTATAGTGCCTAGCAGAATGAGAAACTCTGAAGCTAGAACAGGGCATGAGAATTAGCATCAGAGAGCTTGACTCAGGTATTCTGTAAAGTTAAAACAATACGTTCCAGATTATTTGGACCCAAGTGGACTTTAATGAAGCCTCAAGAGCTGTCATTGACTTGGGGACCTGAAGGACTGAATTTCTCTTGTAATGTCCCCAACACCTGGCAGCAATAGAGGCATTCAACCTAAGTCCATCACAAGAGGAGGTCCTGTCACGGGCAGGACGCTGCATTTCCTTTAAGGTCTAAACCAGCCCAAGCTTCATGACTGTTTGGCCACACTACATAAAGCATCTAAACTCTTGATGGACTGACAGCGTATGCCTGTGGTGATGGAATAAAGTTGACAGGTGTATCCTTATGTGCGTTCCCTTGGAAATTCATGTACCTCTATTTTATTATAATTGCATATTTTTAAGACTTTGGGCATCCCAGTATATTACATAGATTATAAGTGTCAAAGCTATGAACTGTTAGCCGATGGAAGAGTCAGATACAATGACTATATATAACAGCTGTGTATTTATGATCATCTGTATATCTAAAAAATACCCTGAGTAAGAAAGAATACGCTATCAAATGACTGTTCAGCATGTTCAATGAGAAATACTGGGTTTGGGGGATTATATTATGGGATTTTTCCTATTTGTGACAGACCAGAGGAAAAATGAATGGCTTATCTAAGCTGAAAAATAATCAATCTACTACATGAAGAGAGGCTACTGCTATTTGACATTTTACCTGTGTTTTTCTGTAGCAGATGACCTACCTCGGATGCGATTCAAATGCCCCTTCTGTACGCACACGGTGAAACGACGCGCAGACCTGAAGCGACATCTTCGGTGTCACACAGGGGAGCGACCGTACCCATGCGAAGTGTGCGGGAAAAGGTTCACCCGACTAGAGCATTTACGTAACCACTTCCAAACGGTACGCCATTTCAATCGGAGATTCAGCCTAGGAAAAAAAACACAGGATGCCATTGGTACCAGCTGTTCAGTCATTTCCAGAACTAATACCAGAAAAGCTTCCTAGCTGCACATCAACCTTAATTATTTATTTAAATTGGCAAATTATGTTTTAAATTTCATTTTTTAGAATGATTAATTCAATTTTCGTTTTCTAAAAAAAATTTTTAAATCTGCTTTTGGGTGAACACTGACATTTTCAAATTTTAAATCTCTTTAGATACATCAAGCTTGCAAACTGATCTGCAGAAAATGCAAGCATCACGTAACTGAACTAACAGGATGTGTTGTTCAGCAAGGAACGAGACGCTACAGACTGTGCCATAAGTGTCTGGCAGAAGCTAATTTTGATAGCATCCCTGACGACTTAGATGCAGAACATTCTCCTGTCTCCTCCATGGGAAACAAACGTTCCAAATGGGCTTCAGAGGAGGAACAGAAATCAGATGAAGAGACGATGGAGGAGGAACCGTATAATCTGGTTGTCCGACATGTTAATGATGATACTCCAGATGAGGTAGATGAAAAGGTGAAACCAAATCTTAGGTAGATATATTTGTATATTCGTTACTGTTGTACTCAAGATTAAATTACTTGTGTCCCACCAACTAATGCTGGTTTATTACCTTCATTCAAATTAAATATTGCTAAAATTCTATAATGAGCAGTAAAATATGGACTACAAGCAATTTTTTTTTTGTACTTGCAGACATGCAACAGTGTAACTGCTTCTAAATGTAATCCAGAAAGTACTTATTATCTAGAAACTATTTAGAAGAATTGATCTATATTACAAAGACTTGCTCAGAACTCCTGTTCATAATGAAAGTGTGAACCACTTTACAGTTCTACAAAGATTCTATATTATATAGATTTTTTAAAAACCAATATTGATAATTTGCTTTGAAAAAGTCTTACTACAGTAAGCAGTTAAGAAATGTAAACCACGTTTTTGTTGACACTGTAATTAACATGTATATACACATCAGAAACTTCAAAAGAAAGGAGTAAAGAAAACAAATGGAATTCTTCCTGTTGAAGAACCTATTTACAAGAGCTTTGTTTCCTGGGTGAGCTTACTGCTTCTTATCATTCAGAAAAGCATGAGAAGTTTTAAAAGAATACACGTGCCGTACAGAGACACACTAATGTGGTCCCAAAGAAATAAAAGTGCCATCACTGGAAGCACAGTTGTCAGTTTTTTTCCATTTTTTTTTTTCAGGACTGGTGCAAGATTTGCTTAAACTCCTGTCTATCTCGTGCCAATAGAATAAAGAGGACAAGTTCCTTTAATTTCAGTGTGACACCTGTGATTTAGATCATGGAGCTACTTTAGAAAGGACAGTTTCCCTTAGAGTTTAAGCAACCTTTGTAATTCTGGAGTCTCTTAAACTTTTTTAGTCATTATATTTTTTTCCCAGTCATTTGGGTCAGAGAACCTCCACTTTCTAGAGAAACTGAAAATGCTTAGTACTAACATAAAAAAAATCTTAGGGAGAATGTATAGAAGAAACATTCTGTCTGAGAGCAGAGAATGGCATTCCCAGTAGGTACTCTTGATAAAGAGCCACTGTTTGGTCTCATGTCTCATTTTATGCTGCATTTCCTTTCCTGTTAGCAGAATCTGTAGCCTGAGGTTACTGCCAAGCAAGCAAAAATTCCCTGTAGAGAATTTGAGAACAGCTATATTGATTCACATCAAGATTCTCCCTGTCTCCAATAGTTGCCATTAACAGATACCGAGGGAAAAGGGAGAACAAGGCAAGCCTGTATAATAATTCCCTAATGTTCTCCCAAACTCCAGCCATTTTCAGTTTAGAGGATTTTCTTAATTTGGGATTTGTACATTTAGTAATCACCAATGCCTATCTTTTCCAAGTACTTCACCACTCTACCCTTAAACTCATCTAAACTTCTTGCATCAACAGAATCTTTTGGCAAATGCCTCTACAAGTCTAGTAGTCCTGTGAATCCTGTGTTCTTTGAATCTGGCTGCTTGAACAGCCACTCCCACATCTACCTGATCCCACAGAGATGCACTCAAAGTCACTACAGAACTTGCTCAACTAACAGAAATAAAAGAAAGGTTTGCAGTTCAGGCATGTTTTTTAATTAACTACTTTCAGGTAGTTGTCTCAGTAGGCCTCAGCTCCGTGAGACTACAGCCAGTCATTGGGCTTCTGTAATGCAGTGAGATAATACGACTTCCAGTAAACACTAGCTGAAACCTGTCACTCCCACAGCTGTGTAAATGGAACAAGGAGAATTTAAAGTCTATTTTATAGTGGGTACTTAATACTGAAATAAAAAATAGATGATTAACACTTACTTAAATTAATTCCAAGTGTTTTTCTGGCAAGCTCCTATCACTGTTTCTAAAAGCAGAGCATTCTACTGTGTTCCTACAGCCGGTGACTGATGGTATACGCAGGACATCTCAGCACTTCTACAAAGTTACATTTTAACTACATAAATTTCTCTTCTCCCATTTTAGAGGGCTGGGCAAAAGGAGAGGACTCCCCCGCCACCGCCCTTCAGCCCCAGCGCCATCTCCTCAGCGGCCCCGGCTGCCGCCTCCGGCTCTGCGGAGAGAACAAAGCCGCCTCAACTCGACGCCTGATTGGCTAATCCCAGTCGCTTGACCCAGCCAGCCAATGAGGTGCCAACCCTGCCGGTGAGGGGGCGGTAGCCGCGCTCTGCCCGGCTGAGGGGCCGCGGCGCCGGGGGGAGCTGCCGCCCGCCGCGGCCCTCACCTCCCGGCGGGAGCCGTGGCCCGCCGTGCCGGGGGAGGGCCCGGAGTCGTCCATTTCGAGGAACGCCGGCAGGCGGGCGCAAGCCTCGCTGTCCCTCTGCAGCGCTGCTGTGTCTGGCCAGGCACTGTGCTGGGCCTGTGCTGGGGCCCTGGGGCTTCTCCTGAGGAGGGAGGAAAACCCAGTGTGTAAAAATCATACCTCTTTTTATACCATCAGATAGGCCTATCGCTGTTCTTATTTATTAAAAAGTCTGTTCGCCTTAGCAGAGAGCAAAGCGTACTGGCCAGAATTATTCGCACACAAACCCGTTAATGCTTTCAGTCAAGTTTTATTTCAGCATCGAAGCTTTTTCGAAAAATAAGAGGGATTTTATCCCTCGATCTTCACAATATGGAAATAAAACCAGATCTATTTAAAATGACTTTACAATAAAATAAAGATGAGACAGTACCTGCAGAGGTGAGGCACCCGTAGCATTTACAATAAAAAAAGCAGGTCAGTCCAGCACTGACTGTCCCTTACTGTGCCCCTCTCACATTTAAGTAGCCATGGCAGGTAATACACATTTACTGTCCAGTGATTTAAAACAAAATACACTTTTGATTATTTTTGATTAATTTTGATTCGGTGAAATCCATGATCCTTTGACATAAAAGGATTGTCTGTATTGTCCTTTCTAAAGGAAGCTAGAGAAGCTGATCTGAATCGTCTGCTTTTTCTAAAAGAGAATTAGCTTTCAAAAGACAGTTAGTAGTGAACCCACAGAGTCCAGTGAATCCCCTTCTACCATGGCAGCAAAGCAGCCTAATTTTGAGAGTGATAATAGGTGCTACTAGGATCCCATGCACATGGTCCCATGCTTTCAGAGTTCATATTGAAATTTATTTACAGCAATTCAGCACCACCTGCTGGCATGACTTTTTTTTTTAAAGTAGTCTGGAAGGTGTGGTGGTGGTTTTTTTAACTGGTGTAATTTCTTTGGTGACCTTTGCATGGTCAGAACTTTTTCTGCATTAAATCCAACCCACTATAGACATTTTGGACCCTTTATATAATATGGAAGAGTGGTATCACCTCAGAATTAGAATCTGCAAATGAAATAATGTAGATTACTATATCTCCTGCCACCCAGCAAAAAGATAGTATTTTAGATAGCAGCTCCATTAATTTACCTACTTAGTTCATATAGCACGTAACACATATATCAGCCTTAACAGCTGACTACTAGCATTCCTGAGGGACTTTCAATCCCCACAACTCTTCCTCTCAACAGCTAGTTCTTTTTCTCCCGGCATGCAGGTATTTCTCTATCTCACCATCCTCAAGTCAAAACAGAGGCTGACATTCCTCACAATATTCCCTTCAATTTATGACTTGAATTGGCCAATTCCTTAGTTACTTTCACATGGATTACAGTTTTCAAGGGATTTTTGCCAGCCAGTGACAAGTATCCACTCGACCACACTTTCCACACTTTTCTTGTTTTAAATATCAATGATGACAAAGACTTCCGGCTTTTCATCTTCACAGATCTGCATTGCCGAGTAAGTTATGGCTTTGACCTCTGTGCCCTAGAAAGAAAAGACATAGAAGCATGGATTTTCCAAATTACATCCCTTGTAGCAGTTCACAATAATACACAGTACTTACTGCCTTCTACAAATGCTATCCAGTTTAACAGTTCTTCTTAAAAAGCTGTATTTGTTCTGATGAGTAAGTTGGCACACTAATGGCAATGACTTGGCCAGGCCAAATAGTGAGTAAGTAACTCTTCCCTTATTTTATTGCCTCTTGAATACTACAAATTCCTCCTCTTACCTCTGACAGAACATCAACATTTGCTATGCTTATACTGACACAGCTAAAGAGTTGGCAGGGAGATAAGGATTTGCTTCTAGCAATGCTTTAGGGGGAAAAAAAAATCAGCAAAAACTGACTAAGCAAAATGCTGTGGTAATACTGTGAAACCCAAACCCATGTACACATTCTGAATATAGATTGGTTTACTGTTTTATCAGCATCACAAAAAGAAAGCCAAATGTTGACTTTTGCTAGCGCTGAGAAAGCATCAGATGCTCAGGTCAACGGTTTCAGGAACACATTCACAAAAAACAAGCAGAAAGTGAGATCTTAAGTTTAGTGCCTGTGATACCATTCAGATACATTTATGCTTTGATCTCTTGAGAACTCAAAGGTCTGATTTAAAGACACCACACCTCCCCATCCTACCACTAAAATGTAAAAGATGTACAGATGAACCACTGCATACCTGCGGGTGTTTGGGTAAAGAGAACTCTTCTCCCCACCTTTAAAGGAAAAAAGAAGAGAGGTGGTTGGAATTTTGGTAGTATTTACCAAATGTTATAATTAGTTTAATTGATAAGCATAGGACAGTGAGATTTTAATTTGAAGCCTCAAAGGAAGAGAAAAGGAAGTCCGTAATCCACTTTTTAGAAAGCATCAGTGAACTCCAGCACATCACAGCACTTCAGAGTGGCTGCTCTGAAGGCAATATGTGTGTTTTCAGTAAGGACATTAATTACTCAGCTGATTGTTGAAGCTCACCCAATTGATCTTATTTTGAATTGCATTCGGTCAATGTAAAGCACTTTCACCTCCTGCAGAGAAAGTGAGAGAAATATGTCAGTAACATCTATCTTCAGGCGGAAGTTCTCAGTAAATCCCATTTACAAGAGTTGTATTTCACTGTTTAGATGGAATCTAAACCCAGAGAATCTGAGCAGCCTCAAAGAGATACACTGCTACTTGGAACACAAAGGCAGCAGAGCTGCCCCTACCATATAATAGCAGCTAATAACTGGTGCTTGTGGTAACAAAGCTTAACAATTTGTTTCTCAAATCTTTCTGCCCTGGTATTTTCAATTCTCCATGTGTTGTGGTTAAGTGATCCATTGTGTCCCTTTTTTTTTTTTTCCCTAAAATAACACTGTGTTCACAGCTGGTGTTATCAGAGAATATCCTCAACCTACAAATGGGAAAAGATCAAAACAGAACACTTACCCTGGGTATAAAAAACTCATTAGCACTGAATTTATACAGCCACTCATCCAAGAAGTGGAAGAGAAGAGACAACATGTCATGTCCTGCACGGTTAAAGCAAAGCAGGTAGTCAGTTGATTGTCTCAGCAAGAACAACCCAATGTTTTAAGAGTACATCAGATGTACAGCTTCTGCACTATTAGACGATTCAGATTAGTGATGCTTGATTAGATTTTGATTAACTGCAACAACACTACACGTAAAATTCAAAATTTTGGTACCCTTCTCCCTCAGGGTTCATACAGTTCCAATATAAAAACTCAGCGTGGCCTTACCTTCTGCCTCTACCTCTACTGTATCCACAGGCTCCACAGTCTCTGTGTCAGTCATGTAGCCAAACATGGCCATAACACACTGCTCAAAGGCTTCTTCCAAAGTGTCTCCCCAGGCATGTAGCCTGAAAAGACATGAGATAATATACCAGACCATAACAACAACAACAACAAAAAAGAATCCCAAAGTATTATGCAGGTGAGCAATCAGAGCACAAGAATTAATGCAGAGAAAGTGAATGAACAAAAATACTTGCTTTTCTATACCCATGCACTTGGGCAGATTACAGAGATTTTAATTCTTGAGGTTTGTGAGAAGAGTTTCTTGGGAGAATATGGTAAATAAATGTTTTACCAGACAACAAGAAAGTTATTTTCTGGTTTGCCTAATTGATGTATATAAAAAATGGACTACTCAGAAGAAATTTGGTTTAAGGGGAAAGAGATTAAAAGGAGATTTCAAAAGGCATTTCCAAGTAACAAGAGGCTTAATCAGAAGCACCATAGGAATGTTACATTTATAAAAGAAATCAAACATATGGTTCTATAGTCTCCCAAGAGCAGAAACAAAGTAGCTCTATACTCTCTCAAGAGCAGAAACAAAGTAGACCATGAAAAAACCCAGTGTGTAACATTTCAGAGTTCCACAAGGTGTACATCTGCAACCAATCTTTGACAGTTACTCCAAATTTATAGCAGTGTAAGAAATAATCAATTTGTCATATTGAGAAACCCCAGCTGTCCATACTTACTGCACATCTGCTGTGTGATCCAAATCTGAGGAGGAAGGAAAAAGAAAAGGCATGACATCACTAAAAGTATTTTTTAAATCTAGATTTAAAAAAAGGAAATCAGATATTGTTGTTATAACAATAACTTTTTGCATTCATTTTCAGATGTGAAACAGTGATAATCTATTTTCTAGTATATTAGAAAAAGTCAGCACAGGTGAATCTTGGATTATTTCTGCCAAGTGGAAAAACAGTGTTTAATGTAATTATGTCAGTGCCCTACGTGTACAACCCTGTGTGCAAGGTATGGCTGTTGTAACACAACAGGCTTCTACAAGTTAACTGCAATAAAAAGAAACTTTAACTGGGAATAAAGAGTTTTTGCTGAAGTCTGCAAGACTGAAAACTATTCATGCCGAGGATGAGATTTGCAAATATTTCTGGCTCAGTGAAGAAATATACCTGTCCACACCCAAAAACACCCATTATGCAAAAATGAGAAAGAAAAAAAAAAGTACATAACACAAAACAGGAGGCAATCTTCACTAACAAGGTAGAATTAATATCCCAAACATATACCAAGCTTTACATGAACGTCATTTATATTCATTCAGAGGAATGAGAGAAATGCAAAATTATACCAGGTTGGCAGAAACAGAGCTAACTTGGGATGTAACATAAATGCCATACCATGATCACTAACCGAAAGATTGTTCTGATGCTGTTTAGATCGTTCACACACTATTAATGGATTCTCAACAACGGTCTCTAAAGCAAACAAATTCCAGTGGATGTAAAAGAAGAATAAAAGCTCTTCCAGTTAGGGAAACAGCATGACGGTTGTAATATGTCACCATATTTCTTCACTGCTATCGAATACAGATCTGAATGCATCCTAAAAATTTATATATTCTAAGAGAGTAATAGGCACCATCCCTCCCGACAGACACGGATGAAATAGAGAAGTCAGACATGGAATGGTCTCCTGTGAGTGCCTGAAGCTAGCCCTTGGGCTGCCACCCACTTGCTTGGCAAGTTCTTAGAAGACATTCCAGGGGTGGGGAAAGGGAGAGATAATGATCTTTAAGTAGTGCATACAGGAGAAAAAACACCACACAGAAGACCAACATGCATGCTCCTGAATATCTCTCAGTATATAAGAGAGAGAGAAAAATGTACTGCCTTGCTAAGAAATAGCTTGAAAGGGGAAAGTTTTCAAGGTGAGACGTAACTAATTTATTTCTATCATGATTTCTTTAGCACCCATAAAAAGAAAGGCATTTATCTGTGATAATGAAAACTGTAGATATCTTGTCTCCATTAATTCAACTACAGATGCATCCCACAGTCTAAACACATACGATACTGGTGTATTTATAAAGCCCACACGTGCCTAAAAAGCATATCCTGCTATCTTCCTTTTCCTCCCTCCCACTCACAGTTGTACTGTCTCACATACGCTGCAGCAGGATCAGGTTACAAATACTCACATTCATATTTCTTATTGAGTGGTGGGTATTTGGCTTTGACAGCCTTCTGCTCCTCCGTCAGGTTGTAGTCCCTCTCATCGGCTGCCATAGCTGCTGGGCTCGAGCAACACTCACTCACTTCCTGGTGGTAGGAAACACGGCGACCTCGGCAAGTGCATCAACCCTGCCAGGCTTCCCCTGGGATGCTGCGGTAGAAGAGGGAGAATTGCCTCTCAGTTCAGTTTTTCACTTGATAACAGTTTGATAACACTTGTACACAGGCTCAGGTATTCAGAACAAGATACTAAATGCACGTTGTTTAAGTTGTTTGCTATCAAAACTGTCAGCAGGAGACAGGGGACGTTTGGACTTCAAGCCGACACCACTTGCCTCATGAACTGATATGAGTTATGTTCAGCCAGTGAAGTCAAGGGATCACAGCCCTTATAGAAAAAGTGGACTTTGACCTTTTCTGGGAAGAACCATGTTTCTTCTTCCTTGCTGTGTACAACACCAAGCATTTAATTCATCCTCAAATAATAAAATACAGTAATAATGAAAAATAATGAAAACAGCTGTGAAGTAAATTAAACTTTCATGCTTCAGACAACTTTTACAGAATTTTACAGCTGAGGGTACTTAACACACTGGTACGTTACACAGCAAGCTGAAATATGCATTGCCTCCAAAACCCTAGATATGACCTTACCAATTACTTTTCTTTAGGAATAAAGGTCACCTTCTCTTAGGACAGGGATTGTATTTAAGCTGTCAAACCTAGAAGCACATGCATGGGAAATATGACTGTCACACAAGTGCTGGAATTGCCCTATGTTCTTTTTCTTGCAGAATATTTTTTAATTAAAAATTAAGAAATTTAATTAAAATGTTTTAATTAAAAAAGCCCCAACCAAACAATGAACTGTACCGAATCCCCATTTAAAAGTCTAATTCTCAGACCAGATCTTAGTAGTTGCTGTTTCATGCAAGCTTTCATTTGTAATCCTAACAGATACAAATTGGAGAACCTGATTAACTTCCAGCTAATTAATTTTCCTCATATGAGACCTCCCCAGATTTCCAGATATAATAACCATTCTCACTCTTAATTTTTTTTGTGCATAAAATTTATCCATAGCTGAGCCCAAGATTTCCCCAAATAATGCAAATGATAGCATGTAACATCATCAAGCCTACTTTTTAACAGGAGTGGTTCTTATTCTGAGGTTTACAAACAAGACCACACAGGATTTCCAGTTTATATTTTCTGGTAAGCATCTAAGTATGATGCAAAGAGAAGTTTGAATAGGAGAAGCCTGTGCTCTTCTTAGGGAATAAACACCCAGATGAACACACAGTTTGATTTTAAACCTGTGAAGCCTTGACTGCGGACGGCCAGATCCACAACTGAGCACCCTGGGCTACTCACAGCAGATTTATCAGAACCAGCTACGTACTCCGGGTTGCTCTCTAAAGCTTACCGCTGCGCCGAATTAGGGAAAAAGGGAAGCTATTCGTGATTATTGACAATTAATAACCCAAGAGCACGTTGAGGATATTCCGAGGGTTTCTGAGCAGCCCTTTGAGGAGGGAGGGCCGCGAGGGCCGGGCCTCGGCCCCACACACGCACCGATCCGATCCGGTCCCGACAGTCTGCCCACGGCTGCGATGACCGGAGGGAACAGCAGCCGCAGCCACGGAACCTCCCGCTCCCAAACCGGGGCCTCACCCAAGAGCCGCCGCCGCCGCCCCCCGCCGCGGTCGCCGCCGAGCCGCCCCTCAGCGAGAGGCGCTGCCACTTTAAGAGCAAGCGAGGGCCTCCCCCCTACGGAAAATGGCGGCTCCCAGGGGAGCTTCAGCAGCCGCCTCCCGCTCTCCCCCCCCCTTCCCACGTGACCACCGGGCGCGCTCGTCTGCCCCGTGTCCCCGCCCCGTGCCTCCCGCCGATTGGCGGCCGCTGCACGGCGGCGGATGGTGATTGGCCGGCGTTGGCGCGCGAAGGGGTGCGCGGCGCCGGAGCGGCACGCAAGCGGGGGCAGGAAACAATAGAGCCTGCGGCCGGAGGGGTCCGAGCAGGGAGCGGAGGAACCGGCCGCCCGCTTCGCCCGGCCCAGCCCAGCCCAGCCCCGCCACCGCCCCGCTCTCCCCCCGCCCCGCCATGGCGGACAAGGAAGGTAGGGCTCGCGGTGCGGCGTGGGGTAGGCCTGGCGGTGCGGCCTTCTTCGCTCGCGGCTCCGTGAGGCCCGGGGGTACGCTCCCCCCCCCCCCCCTTTCTCTCACCCCCTCCCTTCCCCTCACACCCCCCGGTAACGGCCGCCGGTCTGAGGGGAGCGGGGGCGGCTCCGCCAGGGGGCGCGCGGGGGCGGGGCCCGCCGGTCCCCACGGGCACGGCCCGCCGCGCCGCCTCCCCTCGCCCACGGGCCGCGCGAGGGAGGCCTGTGGCCCGACGGCCGGGTCCTTCCTCCCCGTCCCTCCCTTCGATCCGTTTGTACCCGCTCCCCAGGGAGGGCGGTTTGTGTTTTCCGAGCAGAGGCCGGTGTGCCGGTAACCGGGCGGTTGGGAGCGGGGAGGGCCGCAGGAACGCCGTGCCCTGCCAGGGGTGTGGGCAGCCGCCTGCCTGGCGCAGACAAAGAGATGTCACCGGCCGCGCTGCCGTGTCCCGTGGGTCTGCTCCCACAGGCCCAGCTGCTCTCAGTCACATTCTCTAGGGGGAGGCTAGTAGCAGATGGGATGAGAAAGTGTGCGAGAGAAACAAGGCAACGGAAGGAGCCTTGGAAAACTGGATTTTGGGAACTGGTAGTTCAAGGCTGCACCTAGACCGCTCTGTTTAACAGCAGTTACTGGACCTCCCGCATTTAAACATCTTTACAATTCTGGTTTTTACCCCTGTGACACCAGTCATCAGAATTTTATTATGCTGCTTCTGTTGAGATGATGAAATGTGATGTAGTTAATACTAATTCCCAGCCTTACATCCAGAAACAAGGATTAGCATGTGCAACAGAGAGTTTTTAATCATGTAGCAGCAACTCCAATAAAACAGTCGTAACAACAAACCAGGGTGTGATATAGTTGGCTCTTTATTCAGTTGCCCACTCAGTGTTGTGCATATGTTGTAAATGTATTCATAAAAGCTAATTGTATGCATTTTAAAAAAAAAAAAAAACCCAAACCTTTAGCAGCCTTTGATGATGCAGTGGAAGAACGTGTGATCAATGAAGAGTATAAAATATGGAAAAAGAATACTCCCTTCTTATATGATTTGGTAATGACCCATGCTCTGGAATGGCCCAGCTTGACTGCTCAGTGGCTTCCTGATGTAACAAGGTAAATTGATCCTTTTTTTTTTTTTTTTTTTTTTTTTTTTGTTTGTTTGGGGTTTTTATGTTTTTTTTTTGTTGTTGTTTTTTTTTTTTTTTTCCAAAGCAGAATAAATAGTAAATCTAGGATCACTTTTTGTTAAAGTAAGGCAATATGTGATTCCTTTCTATCTTAAATTGCTTTTTGTACCCTTGCCTTGCTGACAGCAAGTTGGTGACTAAATACTAGAAAGATAATCAGTACAGTCATTTTTAATTTGGGAAGATGTCTTTTATTACCGAGAAGATATTTTTACACACTTTCTTTCCATGTTTTTATTCTTCCAGCTTCCCCCTCCCCTTTAAATAAGCAAAAAAACTACTCAAAGCCGGAACTAGATATAATTTCTGTATAAGCACCATTTTGTCCTAAGCTTCTGTAACAATAGCTTGCAGTAAATGTTCATGCCTCTCAGAGTTGTACTTGGGAGGAGCCACTAACATCCTTAAAGGAAAGCATGGGAATGATGGTCTGGTTTAGGTTGAGGTTTTGAATTAAGAGATTTACTCTGGAGGAAGTGAGTTTGGTGTTGGAGCAAGAGAGCAGTAATAACTTTAAAGAGTGTTATCAGTGTTAAAAGCTGACATCAAAAATGTTGTAATCAGCTCAGTATTTGTGTAAAATCCATCTTTTGTTTCTCAAGTAACTCTCTTCCCTTGCAGACCTGAAGGCAAAGATTTCAGTATTCACCGGCTAGTCCTGGGGACCCATACTTCAGATGAACAAAATCATCTTGTGATAGCTAGCGTGCAGTTGCCTAACGATGATGCGCAGTTTGATGCTTCACACTATGATAGTGAGAAAGGAGGTAAGGGACCAAAGATGTGGACCAGGGGGGAGCTTTAACCATTTTTTCTTTCCCTTCTCAAAAGAATATTTGTCTTTCCTTAAAGTTCAGGCAGCAAAATTCAGATATTAATTATAAACTAATTAATTTATTTCTAAGTGGTACGCTTACTTAAAAGACAAATACTATGCTTTTTGAATGTATGTAATGTCATAATAATATAATGATGAGAAAAGAAGGTGGCAGGCTTATTGCAAAAGTAGGGGGGGAGGAACCTTGCCCCTCCCTGTATCTCATCAGGAATTGACATTGAATTGTATGGAGTACTGCTTATTTGTATTTTTATCATCACTTTTGCATTACATAAACTCTTCCAGTGAGAAAGTCATTCATGTAAAAGAATATGTTATTTCAGAGGAGTGTAATGTTTCAGATGTTCTTCTCGTGTCTGAATTCTGCTGCCTGATAGTTGTGCCAGCCCCTCTTGGATAAAAAGATTATTGTGCTTTGTTTGGTACATCAGTCTTGAATTTGATCTTTTCTGTAATCTTACTTGGCTGTCAGCATTGCTACAAGTTAGACATTTCTCATTTTCACTTGGTTGAATCTATCTTTCTACCTGGTGAAAGTCCTTAATGATCCAGTGTTTACTTTTTTTGCTGGAAGCCTACATTGTGCAATTAGTGTTTTGATCTTTGGGTTTCTGAGTTCTTCATAAACACCGTGTTGTCTAATAAATACTTTGGTTTTCTTCTCTTTCAGTATTTCTCAAATATCTACTACTCCAAATTAAAAACAAACGAAAACCCCCTCTTTTTTTCCAGAGTGGTGCTGTGCAATTTTGCAAATGACTAAGTTACCATAACTTTGCTTAAAAAGATAAGGTAGCTTTAGCAAGTTATATTACAGTCCTGTATCTTAAACACAGTGCAGCAATTTGTTTTTACCAGCATTTTGTCTATTCTGCAGAGCTGATTTTTGTTATATTTGAAGGTGTCATTACAGCACATCTGTTTCAAATGTACAACACATCTTCATTACAGATAGGAGGTTTAGATATGATATATTTTGGGCTTGTGTTGTTAAACTTGAAACAGTACAAAATTTTCATGAAGAAATGGTCTTTAACTTAGCCAAAGTCCTGATATTTTAATGTTACAAATACACGTGTTTTAAACAACATGCCATTTAGAAACTGGATTCTTTCAGTTACAGTTGTCTGACTATCTTTCCAAATAAATGCTCGGTACTACTGGTCATTGAGTCTGGATCTTTGTGTTGATCTGAAGCTGGCTTATTATTTAAAACTACTAAATTCTTATTTCCAGAGTTTGGAGGCTTTGGGTCAGTTAGTGGAAAAATTGAAATCGAAATCAAGATAAATCACGAGGGAGAAGTGAACAGAGCACGTTACATGCCACAGAACCCATGTATCATCGCTACAAAGACTCCATCCAGTGATGTCCTTGTCTTTGATTACACCAAACACCCTTCTAAACCAGGTGTCTGCTTCTTTGTTATGTCTGTACTTCAGAGATCAGCCAGCCCTTCCTTAAGAAAAGGTTGATGTAGTGAAAAAGAGGTTGAAAAGTTTTGTGGACTGCATATAATTTGTTTTGTTTTGTTTTGTTTTTTTTTTTTTTTGAGGAAAGTAGGTATTTAGTGTAACAGGTTATTTTATATGAAGCTTAAACATACGTATCCAATATGTATCAAAAGAAAGGTATGCCTTTTTTCCTTTTGCTGTTTTACTGCATGTTTTATCATGTCACTGGATGTGTTGGTATTTGGGGTGGTGGAAGGTGGCTTTTTGGAAACTGTGATTTGCTGGGTAGCTGAGCTGTTGTCCTGGTATCCTGGAAGGATATTAACAGTCATTTACTGATGAACTCGCCAAGATCATAGCAAGTAACTAGTTCTGACACTTGAGGGGAGGATCGGAAGTGCCTTTCTCATTTTCACAGTGCAGTTGGAGATGATGAAAAACAGAAAAATATTGCACCAGCAGAGTGTTTAGGAAGAGTTTTTTCAAGCAGTAATTGAGATGGACTGCTGTTCCTCCATCCAGCTAGACCAGGAGGCTCCTGGGCTCCTTTGACTCTTCAGCAGGACTGTAGCACTGATTTAGAATGGACCACTGCTGCTAGGCCATCCAGCCTAAAAAAAAGGGCAGCTTGAAAGAATCTGCAGTGTGCTTTTATTAAGCTAAGATGACAAACTGCTCTGTTATCTCAATGCATTATATTCTAATGAGGTGATTCTTCACTTGGGGAAAATGCTCAAGAGGATAGAGAGGGATCCTGTTGAAAATGCCAGAGCAGAGTTTAGTAAAGCACAGTAAAACTTAATGCCAGCTATTCCAGGATGTGCTGGAAATGGTACTAGGCACCGAATTCTTATGCCACCTCTTTACAGACCCTTCTGGAGAGTGTAACCCTGATCTGCGTCTTCGTGGACACCAAAAGGAAGGTTATGGGCTGTCCTGGAACCCAAACCTGAGTGGGCATTTGCTTAGTGCTTCTGATGATCATGTGAGTATTTTAAGTATAGCTGGGGTACAGTCTGCACTTTGTGTCCCTTGGCAAAGGTCAACATTTTTTTTTCTTTGAGGGGGAGGACATAGGGGACGTAAAGAGAGTGTCTGTCTAAAGATGTAATTTCTTTAAAAAAATAATTTTTTTTTTAAAGACCATTTGCTTGTGGGATATCAGT